ATATATATATATATATATATATATATATATATATATATATATCGAGAGTGAGAAAATGATATGATAATCTTTATAGTCATTCATCAATGCAAACCAGACTTAGTTTATAATTATTTATAAGAAGAGAGAGCGTATTTACATGCCAATATGTTTAATGCCTTTTTAAGACTCCTCTTGAGTTACAGTGTAGCCTTCTTTTTGCTCGAATGTCGGTTTAGTATTCTATACAGTAAGAAACTTTGTAGCATCTCTAGATACGCCACATCGACACGATAGCGAGGCTACACTGTTCTTGCGAGAGTATCGATTTGAGTGATTTACATTTCTTAGGTGTTAATGCGGAAATCAATATACGTATAAGAAGAATATTAAGTTTAAATTATGCAAACACACGCAATTCAATGAAACGCTATAATAGACCGCTTCTGTCAGAGAAAGAGAGAGAGTAAGACAGAAAGAGATAAAGTAAAATATATCCATGGTGTACAGCGATCTATCGCATGCAACATTCGGGCAGCGATAATTATTTTCGAAAATGATTGTAACTCCGGCACGTTCTTCACAAATTAGTGGTCTACAGTCGCGAATGTGCAAAACAAAAATTTGTACCACACTACCATACGTGTCAGTAGATGTAAGATTATTAATAATGACAACAACAATAACACTTATTATATTACGAATAATAATTTCTTGTGATTAAATCTCTGTATAAAACGTACAAGGAAGAATTCAAGATATTGTAGCTAATAGAATTCTATGGTAGAAATGGAAGTGACCGAAGAGAGTGTATTTCTAAAAGTTATCATTTGCAAAGAGTATTTTTCAAGTATTTTCAATTATTTTTTAGTATTATATCAGGATTCCCCTCCCCGAGAGACATGGTATAAAAAGTACGCGTACATATGAAAATACATCACAACTTAATGAGATATAAATTTTAGCGTTCAATACGATGTCCCGACCTGTTGATTAAATACTGTGAAACGAATCAAAGACCGATTATTCTTTATTTAAACAGACCCTAACAACCTATGTGTGCTTATTGCAATAATCGACTGCATAAAGATTGCTCTTATCCCGAAATTGCGCGTTTATCCATTTCGCAGATAATATTTCGCTTTATTACGCAACATCTTACGATTTCATAAGAAGCGCGTTTGTCATACGCTTTTCACATGCGCGTACTATTTCCTCCATTCAGCATATATTGCATGTCAGCGCAAAAATTAGCATTATATGGTGAAACGACCGGTTGTTGGCATGTTTGTAGAAAGCGGTTTCGCGAAAGACTATACCAAACTACTTTTTCTTACTTACATATCACACATGAAAGAAGATATAGACGAAATTCTCCCGGCAATCTCCTCCATACCGACATTGCATTTTCTGCAAAAAGTCATTTACATGGTGATTGTTGTAAAATCTTAATTGGAAATTGAGCCATAAATTAAACAGTTAATAATTAATACAGTAATATTTGTGAGTGATTTAATAATTATAGAAGATATATATTATAATAAAATATTTGTTACAACTTTTATTTAGAAACAATGCTCAATAATATTCTCGTAAAACGATGAGAATCTTTTCGCCATATTTTACCGACAAGTTGTACAATTTGCAATGCTAATAATGAAATGTAGCAGAACAGAAACAACTAGTAATATTAAACTCTAAATATAAATAATAACAGATAATATCTTCGAGTCATTTTGATAGCATTTATTTATCTCTAGATAAATAATATATTCGTGTTTTTATGCTTAATATAGTTAGGTTTTGATTTTCTGATCGTACATTTCATTTCGATATTCATGTCGAATAAAGTACTGAATTAATGCTTATATCTATATTCCTTTTTCAAGATATATTCGAATATAGGAGGTAATAACCAATTTTTTTTTCTACTCATCAAACTGAACACAATATTTTTCTACCATTTTGCAAACATAAAACTCGAAATTTTACGTAGTTATTTACGAAATGGTAAAGGAACTTTATGTTCAATTTGATGAATTTTATTTATATACAACGAATATGTCATGAATTGTCAGACATTCTGTACAAGTCCAATAATCAGTTGATGTAGTCAAAATCGATCGACAACCTGTTATTGAAAAATTTATCCTAGCAAAATTGGCCATGAATACTTGCACAAGTACAATGCAATCGAGTGCGATTATAACTAACCCGATAGCGTCCATTACCTTCCGTCTTACAATCTATAACGTTTATTATCCTATATATGAAGGAAACAATAGTACGAGGAAGAAATCTTACGTATTTAAGGAAGGAGGTTTGTGTAAACGCATGGCAGGCGCAATCTTTGTCCAGAGCAGCGCGATACGATGCCGCAAAATATCGCGCGTCGTTCCTCGAGCCTGTGACGAATTTCTCCTTTGCGAGGAACGACGGCATTCGAACGCTGCGCGAGCTCCGCATTGGCGGCAGTTGGGTCGCGAAAGCGCTCGGCGCGCATGCGTCGCTGGCCACTATTGGTCGGCGCGACGGCGCTGTCATATGACGAAGCTGCGTGGCATGATGGGATCGCGGATCTCGATTTTGCAACATGGCGGTGAAGTGAGGCGAAGTCGCGGGTGCTGTGCCATCGGAAAATGTATTTTTCGTAGTCGCCCGTAGCGATTCCGTCGTACCTCGCAGTCGCGCGACAGTGAAATACGTGTTCGGGTGGTGTCGGACGGCCAGCGGCGGGTGTAAATATGAACGGAACGGCCGAGAACGCGACGACCAAGGTGACACCCCGCGGCACCGTGCACTGCTCGGGCACGTATGGCAGGCACTAGAGTTCGCGAGATAAGGGAGCCTAGCTTTTGTCTGAGCGAGCCGCGAGTCGCGAGAGCAGCTGCCGCCGAGCGTAACGAGCCAGCAGCACCGAGTAGCAGCGCGATGTTGTGTCCAGCTCTGGCGAACTGTGAGAACGTGAGTGTCGTATTCCCTCAGTGTTAACTTACGGCCTTAACGCGGAGAGATGGTCCGGCGCGTGTGCCGACGACGACGGCGGCGGTAGCGGCGGCGGCGGTGGTGGCTTTTGTGTCGTGACCCGGCGTAATTTCGGTAGCGGTTCAAGTGCGACCGTGATATATCTCGACTCACGGGATATATCCGCCCGTTCGCCGTCTCTCCTCTTCCGGCGAGTTTCGCGACGGCTCCCGCATACGCCTCCGTGATAAATCTCGACGGCGTTCTATGCGCTGCGGCGGGCGCGTCTCTACCGTGCGATCGTCGATCCTCGAGAAGGCGAATACGTAACTCTCACGAGCAATCCGCGCGCACCACCATTGCGCCCGAACGCCCAGTCGAACACGTTTCGTCAATTCTCACACCCGTGGAGCCGCACTAGGTTTCATTGTCAGCTGCAACATCCGACGTCGAACACGTCGTCGTCGTCGTCGTCGAAGAAACGTCCGTGCATCTCGTCCGCATTCCAATGTCCGCCGCTCCTCGCTCCTAATGTTACTGATGTGATGCGAATGTCACGTTCTTTTCCTCAGATCTCACTTTGCACTCGCTTACCGATGTCCGAGAAGTTGATCTCTGGTCGGTCTCGGTAAACGTCGATGTAGCGATGCTCCAAAAATACCACATGTCCACGGTGGCCTAAAAGCATCGCGGATAGCACCCCGAATATCGTCGCGGATTTATAAATGTTTCAAATGTCGAACAATCCTTTTGAATCAACCTATTGCTTGTTGACAAACTGCAAAAGTGCTTGTTCACCTATCAGCTGCTTCAGCTTTTGCATACGCCATCACTTTGTTCCCTGCCTCTCATATATGTTCGACAGTGAATTGTATGATTTAAATTAGAGGCACTATATATGTAACACACAATCAAAAGTTATGGAATTTGATTCCGAAACTTTCCTACAGTTGTTACTTGTTGTTCATAAATGCCACGAATTGTTAAGCATATATATTGCTTCCGTTATAACTTGAACTTTCTATTCCTATTGTGTATAAAGTGCATCGACATACAACTTACTATTTATACAACATAGTGTGTATTTATGTTTTATACAATTCAATACACACATATACTGTTGAAGGAGCAGAGTACTTTTGGGTATTGTAACGTGTTACTGATAAGAAGTGTATAATACATTTCATACGCTTCATAATGACGGATATCTATTTATTTGTATACGTTTGTGTATATACTCAGACAAATATCTGTATTTTAACTAAATTGGAGAGTTGTTGGAATATTGAGTGATTTTTGCATATCTATCTTAAAATGAGGTCACAGCTGCACCCAAATAATCTCATTTGCATACAATGAGGTGTCCTAAATGCTTTCATGTACAGTTTGCGGTGCCTCTAACTTTAAAAATACATAACATACCGCACACTTATTATCATCGTATGAAATTGAATATGAAATATATAAGGAAGTACACATAATATATTGGTTAAACATTGCGATGAATAATAACATAAATAAGCATGATTTATATCCTGAATCAGATACGTGTGTACACTATATATGACTTATCTCAGCAACTCTGTTATGTATTTCCAGATATACGCAAGAAATAGAAACTTTATCGGTCACTGTGATTTCTGATCGTGCATGCGTGCCAAACACGAAGATATAAGAGGGCGTTAAGAAGATCCAATGGTTTCCTGACATGATGGAGGGCAAATTATATGTGAAGAATGAGCCGGGACTCGAAGGGCAATCACTCGCAAATCCTCAGCCCAATTCGTCCGTCGAGGATGGCGGAGGAGCTAGGATTTGTTTCGTCTGTGGCGCCGTGGGCCACAACGAGCAGTATTGGCTCCGAGTGAAACCAAGCCCGGGTGGCGCGCCCAACGAAGCCTACTTCCCGTTTCTCGAGTCGCACGAGCCGCCGAGCGGCTATCGCGGCGAGGGTGCCAGAAGCGGTGCTGTCAAAGCGTGCAGTCTCTGCTACGCTCTACTGCTGCAACAATGGGAGAGTTACGAGCAAGATGCTAGGCCCCACAGCCAGCGTATTTATTGGCTGAAGAGATGCGATGGCGGTCCCTTCACGGGGGCCGAGATGGCACTCCAGGGCGAATACGCCGCGCAGGTCCTGGGTTTGACAAACGATCAAACGCCACAGATGAGACAGGATGGTCGACCGGTCGGCATCTCCCCGCGATTGCCACCGAACTCGCCGTCGCCGAGAGTCGAACAAACTAGACCGCCGTCGAATTCGGTCGAACTGCCAAGGCCGCACTCTAATACAGCGGAAACGCATAGGCACTTGGAACAAGCGAGGCTCACAATGGAATCTCCCCACCAGAGATTGCACTCACCTCACCAAAGGTTGCAAAGCCCACGACAGCACGTTGAAGACACTAGAATATCCAATGAAGCAGCATTGGATTTGAGACATGCACCTAGAAGCTCACCTGCACCACAACCTACTTTACCACCACAACCACAAGGTTAATATCTTTTAATTATTTTCATCATTACGTTAGAAATACTTGGTTAGTTTTTATGCTTCTTTAGTAACGACATGCGTTTAGTGCGTTTAAAACGTAGCTTCCATATTGTAATGAATTTGAATTTAAACTACCTTTTAAATTCATTCGGAAAAGAGAAAATACATATTCACACTTATGTGTTGGAGTTACTTTTATTTCCTTTCTTTCATATATATAATTCGACATTTACTTAATAATATTTCTTGTATTGTCAATAAATTTGTTCGAATAATGATATTATCATATCGATAAATATCAGTCAATCTTTGAACAAATGTAGAGTATGACGGGGATAATCGTGCGTCAGAATCCTTCTAATTATTAAATTGACCCGGCGAGTTTAATTGGATCTTTATCTGAGGTCAACCTACCGTCTTTGCTCGTAATTTCAAGAGAATCAAAGAATGTTCTGTTCGTTGTACAGAGAAAACGACGCTCTCAGTTTAGCAATGTATACTTGGTTCATTATGCAGAATATTCTCAAAACACAGATAATTATAACGCAACATAGAGAAAACATTTTGCGAAAAGAAATTATTTATATATATATATATATATACATATATATATATATATATATATATATATATATATATATATATATATATATATATAATATATATGTATGTATGTATGTATGCACACACACACACGCGCGCGCGTTCTAACGCTAAAGTTCGCAGTACATACTGACGAAATCGCTAAGCACTATCTGATAAGAGTAAAAACCGTATTTCACCGCTATTACCAGTTATCTGCCGTCAGAATGTTTACGTGGTAAATATACGATTCGGGTCGCTATTTACACTGGCCTTAGTCCTTTCGTGCATCAATGTAAACATTCGAAAGTAAAGGTTAACAGTTCTGTAGATAAGACGGTGGAAGTCGTTGCAGAACGAACCGACCGTCCGATTCACTTGACGCGCACGTCCGATCTGAGTGGCGATTCCAGACTTTTCCTCCCGCTCGCGCCACGGTTCGAATGTCGAGCTTCGATGACCTTTACAATTTCGATTCGCCCGATCTGATATTCATTAGTCAGCGTGCCCTCGCCAGATAACCAGGTCGTCGTCTTAAAATGAAACTATTAAAACACTTTGTTCATTGCACCAACTGCGAAACTCTCTCTGTTGCTCTGTATTCGTAAGCATAACCGATAAACTTGCAAAAAAGTGCAGGCTCTAAGTGGGCCACGTGCAGCGCGATGATAATGTCGAAGGCGTGCAAGATGCCCGTGGTGTCTAGTTGTTATACTCGCAGATTTTACGCTACGTTTCAATTCGACAATGACCGCAGCGCATAACCGATCGTCTCACGTTGCAATTGCAGCTATTTATAGCGGTGGATCGTCGTCCAGTGTCGGTACAGACATCTTGGATCTGTCGATGCCGGACAAGAATTCAGCCACGGAAGTCTGTTACGTGTGCGGGGACGAGTTCAAGAGAGGATCCCTCAGTCACATTGCAGCGAAGCCACTGCCAAACCTGCCGCATCCTTCTGCCAGTCCTCCGCCATTTTTTCCGTCACTGATGCTTCATCCCAGGCCAAGTAGGAGTCGACCTATGGACAGTGCTGGTCGAGTGCAGGTGATACTTCCCGATACAAAAAATATCTTTTGATAAAGTTATATTTACTATTGTTATCATTACTATATATTTCCCGATATATATTTTCCATCTCATATATTTGTACAGTCTTTTTAAAATCAATGTCTGATGTCTCATATGTGTTTTTAGGCCTGCTCAATGTGCCAGAATGATCTTTTATCACAATGGAAAGCGTACAAGCAACGGGGAACACCACATGGTGAGAGAAATTATATGCTTCGCAAACGACAAGCACCTGCAACGGATGCAACTACGTTTATCTGCTACACTTGCACACTTGAGTACCCTTCATCCAGTATTAGACTTATGTATTGCTGTGCTAATCCCGAGAAGGAGGCGTACTTCCCTTTTATTTGTAATCTGAAACCTCCACAAGGAGCTAGTCCTATTAGTCCTCAGGGAATGGTGCAAGTTTGCTCCATTTGTTATAAAGCTATCCCGCAGAAACAGCAAGTGTTTGGTGGAGAAAATCAGGAGGCCCTGCCAGCCGGACAAAGTACAGATTTCCGTCAGCAAGGTTAGTCCTTTTATTCCAACGTATATTTGTAAAAGTTTGTTTTGTACTTGTGGAAAAGTTTCTTGAATGAATTGAATGTTTGCTGCAGGTCCTTCGCCACGACCCGCTGTTCCAAAATCTCCAGCTAATTCAGCTGGTAGCGATATTCGCTTTAAGCCATACGATTTAAATAAGTCGACAGTCCCTGCAAATAAGCAACGTAGTACTATCATGAAAGCGTCCGTGCCTGGCCAACGAAATTCACCTAGCAATGGCCCTACGGAAAATGGGGGCGTTGTACTTGGCCAAAATTATAAGTGCTATATTTGTGAAAAGTCGTACCCACGTATTCATATGGAGTGGTAAGTTACTTTACTACAATGTATAGTGCTCAGAATTATATGTATAAATAAGACAATTTTCGAGGACTTACTTTACCTTATCACTTCAACTCGAACACACAACTGATAGTCGCAGTATTCGGCCTCAGGTTCATTGATATTATGAAGTCTATGAGGCGCTTCCTAATATGAAAAGTTCTTATCAATTCTTTTACATGTAATATTTTTATACAAACAACTCTTACATGTAATATTTTTATACGTTAGTAATATACATTTATATATTAAAACTACAACGTGGCAACTATTTCCACGTCACCCATGGAGTACTATTGCGGACGCGTTTTTTTTTTAAATAACATACACGATAGGTTTATTCAATAGTCTATTGTGATAGAAAGCGCCTCACAGATTTCGTAATGTCAACGATCCTGAGGCCGAGCGTCGCGACTATCAGTTGCGTGGCCCATCGGACGAGTTTAAACAGTAAGGGGAACTAAGGAGGCGTATCCCTCGAAAATCACCTCGTTTATACAAATAATTTCGAGGACTGCTCTACTACGTAACGTACCATCACCGAGATCAATATGATTCTATTGCAAGATATTAATATCATTTTTTGTCTTATCAGGTTATCTACAAGTCCAGAAGGAATGAACTCACATGCCATGCATTTTCCTTGCTTAAGAGGAATGATGCGCACATCAGAAAACGCTTGTATGGATAGCCACGGTAGAGTATTAGCATGTAGTAGCTGCGTGAGTCATCTTGCGCAACAGTGGGAAAGTATGGACGCTGAACGGATTCCTCTAGAACGCCGCAAGTTAGTATGCTGCGAATTATATTAGCTGTTGCTTTCAAACAATATGCATGTATTACGCGAGTTAATCACAAAGCGATATGCTTTGACTCGTTTTATAAGCAAAATGATTTTTCGCTCATATAATAATATATTAATATAATAATTTACGACTCTATGTGTGTTATATTTTGTATACAAAGAAATTGACAATTGCTCAATCTTTGAGTAATTTAGATGCAACTACGCAATTAAAATAGACCACTTTCATTATATTTATATTTTCGCTAAATATTACGAAATTAATATACAACATTTGCGATATCCGTCAAATTTCAGATACGATATTCCTAGTCCACATCCAAATGGCGACGTGAACCGGTCGATCGCTACGCCACCGAGCTCCAGCTCGGACAGAACGTTCGGAAGCAATCCGGGCACGTCGAGTAGTTCGATCTACTGCTTCTTGTGCGGTTTACACAGTGACTTGACTCTAGCTAGAGTCCTGTACGGTCGTCCACAGGGCCGAAACGCACCATTCTTTCCGGAATTGTTGCGTCATCAGTCGCCACCGAACGCCGAGCAGCTACGCGAAGATGGCTCCGCGCTGGTGTGCACCTTTTGTTATCATTCGCTGTTATCGCAATGGCGTCGATACGAATCTCAGACCGGCAGTCAACAAGTGAACCCCGCTGATCGGCAGTACAATACCCACGACTACACCTGTTTTGTATGCAGCGTCACGACGTACCGAAAACGAGTACGCGCTCTGTCGATCAAGGATTTCCCATCCTTGAAATACCACAAACTACGGGAAGGTTGTTTGCTGCTAGAGAATGGCGACTTTACCGTGGTCTGCTTGGACTGCTACGAGACCCTACGTACGCAGACTCTCGAATACGAGAGATGGGGCTTGCCCATTGAGAAGCGGGAATACAATTGGATCCTGCAGCCTCCACCGCCCGAGGACAGCCCCGATGCTGCTATAGCCAGGTTACCGTCCGGCGAAAGATCCGACAAAGTGGTGAGTATATGTGTAAGCTAATGCACATACACGTAATGACCGATAAAGTCTATTATACGCTAACGAGAACAAGTTACTATAGATGTTTACTTATCTCCGACAGGTCCCACCGATTTTAACAGTCAGGCCAGCGCGAAAGAACTGTTCACCAAAGGCTCCCGATAAGAAGGTACCGACAAAAATTCCGGAAAAAGAACAAGGTAAGCGATAATTAAACGTCGATTAAAATGTGCTTACTATGCAGTGCGTGGGATTTGTATACATGTACGTATATTTGTAATGTTGTAATATATTTAAGCACCTTCGGTTTTTTTCAAGTTTAAGAGAGAGAGAAGAGAAAACTAAATTCAAAATTATCGTGTTATTTTAACTTTAATTTACGCGCTTGAAGTATTCTTAAGAGTAAACTCGGTGAGTTTTAAACTTTCCTCGTCTCACTGCATGGTAATGCACCTATTTAATAGTTCTTAATTAAAGGATCAACAAAAACTCTTAAAGTGTTTTCTTCTAATGGCGTTAGTTGAAGCACTTATGTTAAATAACGCTAACTTGACTTTTATCTAATCCGTACTTATGTTAAAATAATTCTAACGCGCAATCGTGTAAACTGATTAATCCCCCGTTAAGTCTCTCGTTCTAATCATCTTTTGATGTATAGCACATCTAATTATTTATTTATTTACGGAAACATTTTTTTTCGTACAAAAGATTAGGTAAGATTGACTTGTTAAAACTCGATCTAAGAAAAATGCGGTCTTAAAAAACATACTTTAAAAAGTGAAAAATATAATAAAAGTAAAGGAAAGTTAATAACACACACACCGTTAAACAAACGGATGAATATATTTTATGACATTTAAAAATGTTCAAATTCAAATCGTTCTCCGCGCACCAAACAGACAAAACAGTAAATATCTCAGAAAAAGCATTATATATGCAGACCACTTGAGTTTTGTTACACAAATAGGATTTAAACCATGACAACAAACATCTGTTAAAACCAATAATTTTAAACTTGTGTATTAAAATACTATTACTTACAAACTGAAAGTCGAAAGGTTTTCGAGAAATCTGTATAAATGATAGAATTGCGTGCAAAACTACAAGTGCTGTAACTGTATAGCAATCTTTTAAATATCACGAAAGATTTTTCCTCATATCAACTTTTATTAGATTTGTTCAGTTTATCTACTGGTATCTCACTATCGTTAATCTACACTCGAGGACACATATGCAACTTTGAGATTTGACTTTCATGTTTATCGCTTTCTGTCTGCGCGAACTTTTCCCCGTAAAAGCTAAACGCCTGCATAAGTTCTGACGAGTTTGCCGTATCGATCGTAATATTTAATATGACATCATAAAATGCGAGAGGATGGTTTTCCGACGACTAGAGTACACTTAACTCTCGGATTTAATTAATTCGTTGACTCCAACTGTGCTTGTTCCACTACGTATATTTACGCATACTCGGTAAATATATCTTTAAAATAGATCCGTTTAGTAAAGTGGATGTTGTAGCGATCGATGTTGGACGTCAACACTTTCTAATCTCTTAACGCAGCACATTCGAAAAGCCGCAAATATATACACATACGTGGAAACACCCGCACACATTGTATTTGTACAAAGACTCGGCGGGGCGAAAGGTATGATGGAAGGTGAGCGAGACGCCAAGGGTGAGTGAATGAGACGTGAGTGGTGCTCTTAAAAATCCGACAGACAAAAGCGGACTGACAGTGGAGAACTATCCGGGAGCAGGGCCTGATGGTTTGCAGTTTTCATTGCTTTTTTCTCTTTCCTTCTGATTTTCTCTTCCTCTCCCCCTTCCTTCACCTTTCTCTTATTCACTCGTTTATATCTTTCCTCTTTCCTTACTTTTCCGCGACCCTTTCTCGGTGTCTCGAGTTACAGGCAGAAAAATATATCCTCTTTAGCGAAACGTCTTATCATCACTCGATCTCGCAAATATCTTTCGTATGTGCTCAATAGTTTAATCTATTTCGTCGTTTCTTTTTCCTGCACTTATCATAAAACGGTGTTATTGATTATATTATATTTATCTTAGGTCAAAATTGTTTACATTAACCCTGAAAATTCTGTCAAACTTGTAGAATCAATGGAGAATCTTGAAGTTTAGTAATACACAGAATATCGATGTTATTTATTAGGCTTTTATTGATATTTAAAGGACTTCTTTAACAATTCTTTTAATATTCAATCATTTCAATCAGTCTACTTGTACTTAATCTCAATTTCAAGAAACAATATATTTAGTATATAACTCACTCGATTATAGATATAATATTTTAATGGTAGATATTAAAGTGTCTAATAACGAGGTAATGAATAAGTAAATAAAATAAATTTTCTTTCACAATTTTTTTTATTATTATTTGGAGTTATTACTATACGGAATTTTTCAACACAGGATCTAGAAATTTAAAAAGATGAGAAAAATACTAATTTAAAGAAATCCTTTAAATATCAATAAAAGCCTGATAAATAACATCGATGGACAATACTCTGTATATTACTGAACTTCAAGATTCTCCATTGATTCTACAAGTTTGACAGAATTTTCAGGGTTAATGTAAACAATTTTGACCTGAGATAAACATAATATAATCGATAACACCGTTTTATAGTAGGTGCAGGAAAAAGAAACGACGAAATAAATTAAACTATTGAGCGCATACGAAAGATATTTGCGAGATCGAGCGATGATAAGACGTTTCGCAAAAAAATTATTAATTTATTGTCGCTACATTCTGCGTTCTATATTCCGTCCTGGGATTGACTTCTGGTTGTCATCGTAGTCAGGTGCTCAATGGTCTCACGTGAGAAAGTAGGAATCAATCGGAAATGCAGTGTCAACTAATGATTGTATGTTAACCGACAGTCGTTAAATACTGGGACTAGCTTAAGTGATTTTCAATACCATGCGTATCGAGAATTTGTCACTTAATCGTCTTGATTAATTTGGTTATTTCGTAAATCTAAAATATTTTGAAAGCATCAATTATTATCACATTTTATCGATTACTGAATGTGCTAGTTATAAGATTTGCTGTTTTATTTGCACTTTTGACACTTGCACCTAATACCTATGCACCTAATGCCTATTGCACACCTATGCGATGAGCGAAATCCAATGAGAGCTCTTCTTGCTAAAGAGGAATGCAGTGTACAACCGGCGTTAGGTGTAAAAGTGTCAAAAGTGTAAACAATGCGAATGAACCTATTGATAAACGCGAGCGACAGTTGACAAAAGATGTCAACACTTTGTCTTTCTGCCGTTTGTTTTGATAGTCTCATACGCCGCGTATTTGTCCACTATCGAGTTATTACGTCTCGAGCCGACAAACGGCGCACATACCGACGCGACGCGACGCGGAGTATGTGTATCGTCGCTTTGTTTACGAATTCCGTCGGGAACACATTTTCGGAAGATGTTTCGTCAGCTATGTTGTAAAACATATATAATCGTGCTCTCTTGGCATCGCGTTAGTTAACACACGTTTTTCCTATCGAGTCATATCTACTAAGGTAACTAGATTTCCCAGCCCTGAAAACTTCATAAATATGTGAAGCGGGGGAGGGGGATAAAAAGATACGAAAATTATTTGACAGTCATTGAAAATGATGAAAAATCGGGACGTCTGGTCATCTTAGCTGTATGTGTCGAGAAGAGAGAAGATTACTCCGTAATAATGTACTTACGATATGTCCTGACGACCGCACGTCGTTGTTTTCGGGACTCTAATATTTATTTCCGCAGAAGACTCACAGGACATAAGCGAAAGACGTATGGAATACGGAGCATTGTGACCATGGCAGTTGCTCGGCATAAAAAGATCGCAAACGCGCGCGTTGTCAATCACGTATACCAAAAATTCATTAGCCATTGGCACCGAAAGTGCCAAAAGTGCATGAACGTGAACGCGCCAGTGATGCGAACGAGGTCGCGCGTCTACACTGACGCGATCTGTGTACGGCGGACGTCTTAACCACTTGCTCGAGTTAGGGGCTGAGCACAATAAAAGGAATAGGGAATTGAGAATAGAGAACAGGAAACAGAGAATAGGGAACAGTTCAATATTAAAACATGAAACTTAATTCATCAACGTAGAATAGAGGAATAGCGTTATTTCTTGTTTTCAGTATTCCTTATTCCTTATTCTCTGTTCCTTATTCCTTTTATTGTACTCAGCCCCTTATTAACCATTCTAGACCAATCGCGTTCGTTTCGCATTACGAGGTTGTCATCGTGGTTATTCAATCTAGGCGTTGGTAATGAATCGCGCGAAATGCTCGATCTTTTCGCGCCAAGCAGCAGCCAGGGGCACACATCGACCCACATCGCTCCGCGTTTCTCGCGTCTTTTATCGGTCGAAAGTGAGTCTCGCGCGTTAATAGGTCTCGGGAGTATCAAGAATAGCGATATGCGATCACCGAGGCGTATCGTGAATATGTCATTTGTAAGTAATCTTCTCGTTTCTTCTCGCGGTATATACGACCGATGCTTGTCGCGACGTGTCGTGCCTTATATTCGCTAATATCATCGACTCGTTCAAGTAGCAATAAAATCGTTGGATTTATTGAGCGGGAATTAGAAATGCGATGACAATCAGAGAGAGAGAGAGAGAGAGAGAGAGAGAGAGAGATGCGGGATATTCGGGCGGTTGCATCAGCTTGTTAGGGAAAGAAATATGGAGAAAGAAGTATCTCATAGAGCGCGTTCTTTTCGACCGCGACGCCGTTCACATATTGGCGTATATTTTCAGCGCGATTCAACAATCGCGCGGCCATCTTGATTCTCGATCTTTCTGCATTGAGTAACCGCCGTGGACACATCGATCGACATTGCTCCGCATTGTACGCGTCTTTAACCCGTCGAAAGTGAGTCTCGCGCGGAAATAAGTATTGGGAGTGTCGAGAATAGCGATGTGCAATCGCCGGGGCGTATCGTGAAGACGTCATTTGTAAGTAATTTTCTCGTTTCTCCTCGCGGTATATGTAAGGTGACCAGATTTCCCAGCCCTGAATTCGGGACACTTCATAAATTTGTGAAATAGCGGGGGGAGGGGGGGTAAAAAGATCCGAAAATTATTTGATAATCATTGGAAATGATGACAAATCGGTGTCCCGAATGGCACTCGAAAAAATTCGGGACAAAGGGTGAAAAATCGGAACGTCT